TTTTTTTTTTTTTTTTTTTTTTTTTTTTTTTTTTTTTTTTTTTTTTTTTTTTTTTTTTTTTTTTTTCTCTTTTGTTCTGTTTTGTTTTGATGATTCGATCTGTGAGCTGTTTGGTTGGTGAGAAAGTGAGTTGAATTTAATAAGGTCTGTCTTGAATTCTTCGATGGGAATTTGGTTTCATCGGAAGGAAGTGAAATTGCTGAGTTTCTGATTGATTGATTGTTGGATGGATGGATGGATGGGTTAATTGAAAGAGGGGATGTTTCATCCTTGAAACTGTGTTTTTCATTTTAATGTTTTTTTTTTTTTTAAACTTTGATTTATAGCTCAGTTGAGTTTAGTAGTTGCTTCGATGGAAGTCAGCCTAGAAGGAATCTCATTTCTAATTGCTCCTAGTCTAGAATTTTCCATCCAAGGAAGTTCTTGTTAAAGCCTTGAGCGGGCAGCACAAGCCAAGGGCAAGGATGAAGATTTTATGGTGTAGCTGTTTTTGGCCTTTTTGTTCATTGCTTTTTATCATATGGCTGATGAACTCGTTTTCCTTTTCCTCTGGAAACATATCGAATCGATCTGGCTTTTGAGATCGCTCTTGGGTTAACTCGTTGGACGGGAATTATTAGATTGAAGAAGAGAGTAAATTTAATTGTTTAGCGTGTTTGTTTGAACAGTACTGCAAAGGAAAACAAAACAGCTTTTTGTTAACATGTTTCTGCTGTTTTTCCCTCTACAGTCTGCATATGAGTTTAGAACCCAAGTATGAATCTGAGAAACTATTGTGTCATTTTTTCTTCTATTCTTCATTCAGATTTTACTGCTGGGCAAGTTGGTGATTGAGACAGGACATCGTATCAAACATTTTTATCATCTTAAATGGTGGATAGAGGATCTTGAAGGAATGTCTGACTTGTGTATGTATAAGGTAGAGTTTTATTCCCCCATCTTTCTCTATTTTCAAATTATTGAAATGAGCTAATGTTGGTTGTTTTTGATAGTAGAGATGTTGAATATGTCTCACAGTCTTGGCTTCGCATGATGTATTCGTTCATCAATATTGCTACCATACTCAGAATTTTTTGTTTATCCAAGATTTCAACTATCTTTGAAGCATTATTTAGTGTAAAGTTCTAACTTCAATTGAAATGTCCTCCTACGCATGCTCAGAAAATAGGTATGGCTGTAAAAGAAAAAAAGATGTCCAAGAAGTAGTGCCAATACTAACGTTTTCACACGAGAGAACTTCATATTTACCAGCAGATGATCAATCTTGTGCGATTAATACGATTTAAACGACATCTGCTATAATCTTTTCACTTTAGACTGAGCGTCCAATTATTATTTTTAGACGATACTAGAATTTTTTTTATCTTCTATTTGCTTGAACCTCTTGTCCCCAGTGATCTGAGTGAATCTTATATCTAGGACAATGTAGTGTGTGCGTGCTCATGCATGTATATTTTACTTATATCCATTTGGGTAGAAGACCAAATTGTTGGTTAAAGCAAACTATTCTTTTAGATTTATTTAGCAGTAGCCCTTTTCTGTAACTTTTGTGTCTTCAGAGGTATGTATCTGGTTTGCATTGCTAATTTGGCTTCCAACTAAATGCCCCTTTTTTTCTAGTTCCCACTCTAGACCCATCCATATAATATCATCTTATTAACAGGACTTTTGCAATTCAAATTCAAGCTAAGGACCATGAAATGGATGCCGTAGTATAGTAAGATATCACTGGTATTTGCTGATCTTGTGGTTGGTCATAAGTTGGTGTAGCTGATGTTGCCATTGAGGTGAAGGCGACATCACTAGTAACTGGTATTCTGAAATCCTTAAATTTGCTCTGCATATTTCTTTAGTTTTACAGTCAAAATAAGATTTTTTTTTTTTTTTTTTTGCTTTTTAATACACATTGTAAACAGAAAAATATTGTGCTAACAATTTCTCATCGTTGTGTACTCCATAGATACAATAAATAATGGCAGTCTTATATGCAAAGCTCTAGCTAGATGAGCTCTGTATTCTTCTCTAATTTTCCAATAAGTATCAAATTTTTCGTTAGAAAAATACAAAATCTCATGTAATGCACAAAATATGTCACACTAGGATCTATCAAATAATTTATAAAAATTGATGACAAGGATTTAAATAGTTTTTATGTGAAGTCTGAGGACTGAAATAGAACATTTGAAAGTGTACCTGTATACACGTCAAATTTAAATGTCACAATTTTGTTACTACATATAGTTCTGGTAGTTTGGATTTAGTTCACCTGTAAGATGAATTGGCTTCTGTGTTTTATGAGATACAATAATTTATCCAAATCTTTTTTAATGTAAGTTGGTATCGTAGCTTACTACCTTGTAATGGTGTTGCAGCTCAAGGATAATCTTTGGAAAGATTTCACTGAGATTGATGATTATATAGTGCCTCATGTTGGTGATGAACTCTGGGATCTATTTGAAGTACGGAGCGATACTCTTAAGAATTCTAATCGCCGAGTTGGCTTTACGAGCAGTGCTTACAGTGCATCTAAGTTCAGTTTTCTTGGTAAGGAGAAAGTAAAAACACAAACATCAATCATGAAGAATACAGTGCTGGAAAAAGATTCATGGTCTCATACACCTGATGGTGCTCCTTCTTCATTAAACAGTGATACAATCAAAGATATGAAAATGGAATCAAGCAGTCTTAGTATGTCAAACCACTGCTTTAAAACGGACGTGGGTACAGATCTTGATTACTGCACTGATGATCATATTGTAACTGATAATAGTGCTGCAGACGAGAATGACATGTATCAATATTCAGTCAGTCATATGTCCCAAACAGATAATGATATTAGTTTTCTGGACGATGATCGTGAAAACAATGAAAATAACGATCTTCTGTATTATGGGTGGCAAGATATTGGAAGTTTTGAGGATGTTGATAGGATGTTTAGGTAATCTTCAGCCCTTCCTCGTAATTTGTTTTTCCATTTGTTTTATAATATGAGGCTGAATTCTTTGATCCCATTGTGATGCTGCAGAAATTGTGATTCGACATTCGGGCTTGGGAATCTAAACAACGAAGATGATCTACGCTGGTTTTCCCCATCCCATGGCTCGGAGAAACATGAAGATCCATCAAAGTCAAACTTTAAGTTTTCATGCTGTGAAGGAAGTACAATAATTGATGCATCCGAATTTAACGAAGAGTCTAATCCCGTGAATTCCGAACCTTCACCTGATGGTCTGAATAGAAATAATATTTTAAATGGATGCAAGGTGAATGATGGGACTACAGATCTTGGTGACTCTGTTGCTATTAGTCACTTGTCAGCTGCTGACATGTCAGATATGGAAAACAATTCTAGAGCTGACTTGATACCTAGAAAACAGGTTTGATACTGATCTTTCTTCCTCCTCAAACCAAGAATAAATAAAAACTAAGTCAATGAAGAAGTTAACATATAGAGTTTCATGAAATGAAGCATTTTAGTATAAACTCTCTAGGCTCCTAGTTCGATAAAGTAAAAACTGTCCAGGCAAATCCCTCTCGAACTCATCGAACCGTGAAATTATACTGAAACCTGAGTAACGACTGCCTATTTCTGCAGGAATCATCTTATGCATCTGATCAACTACAGTCTATGCATAGCTCTCAGTATCCTTCCTTTGATGCTCCAACAACTGCAGCAAATGAGAATAGAGAAAAACTGTACCACCAGGATTTACCAGCCTCATTCAACAAGAATTTCACTTTTATGTCTGCACCAAGTTTGGAAACATTCAATACTTCGTTTCCAGTTAGAAAGCAGGCTCCAAGGTCTGAAAGTGAAATTGATGACGGTCACAGTGAAACTGGAGTAGTTAGCAGAGGAACTAGAGCAGAATTAGATTCTTCAAATGCCCAGGATAAGTCTTGCAGGGGCGGCACGATGCTGGATGGAATTTCACTGGAAGCAACTAGTTTTCGCCAGCTTCAACAAGTAATGGAGCAGGTAGTTGTACTTTCCATGCTTTTCACTCGATAAAATAGTGTCTACTGTGCATTTCGCTCGGAAAAAGTCATTTGCATGCAAGTTGCTTTTCACTAACTTACCATAGCCAATGACCGGGCTATGGCCATAACAAACATTTGGTGGTTTTGTTCAATCTCTATAGTTTATGGTGTCACAAATTCTACATGTCATAAGTTTGACTGTCTATATATACCTTAAACAATGTCATCATGAGGAAACACCGCGACAACACGAGCTTGGCATGTCAACACATCAGATAATTAGAATATAGACATCGAAAAATCTAAAATCAACAAACTTGAAAAACAAATTTGATACATGTAAGGATCTTTGTTATGTACTGCTTTGATCAAAACTTAGAAAAACGAATTTGATGTTCTTTTCATACTTGAAGTTCACTAATTTATCCTGTAGTTTTACACATGAGAGCATTTTTTTTCATTTCCTTTCGCTTGAGGAAATATTTGCATGGTTCATATATTCGAAACTGAAGATTATCCAAGATTCAAAAAATGCTTTGATAATTAGCTTTTAGATCCGTTTACTAGGATATGTGAATATTGTGATATTGTTCATGAAACTAACTGCTTGAACTACTTAATTTAGCTGGATATTAGGACGAAGCTGTGCATAAGAGACAGTCTCTATCGCCTGGCAAGAAGTGCAGAGCAGAGACATAACTGTGCGAATCTCAATGAGAATATTGGAGAAGATAAACTCGTGAGAGATCCATCGTCAATTGATCAAGATGCCAACAGGCAAGTTCTCGCTGTATACTCACCACATCATCTCTGGGCATAATTTGTCGAGTATTACACTTTTGCTCTTGTTTCATGTTGTCCAGTCATGCACTCCCTACTTTTCTGTTACCTTAAAGCAATATATGTAGTCTTAGGCCTCGTTAGTTAATCTGAATGAGGATGATTGGAAGTTGGAATGAAGCTGTGAGATCCCATATCGGTTGGAGAGGGAACGAAGCATTCCTTGTAAGGGTGTGGAAACTTTTCCCTAACAAACGCGTTTTAAAACCTTGAGAGGAAGCTTGGAAGGGAAAGCCCAAAGAGGACAATATCTGCTAGCGGTGGGCTTGGGTTGTTACAAATGGTATTAGAGCCAGACACCGGGTAGTGTGCCAGCGAGGACGTTGGGTCCCCCAAGGGAGATGGATTGTGAGAACCCACATCGATTGGAGAGGGGAACGAAACATTCCTTATAAAGGTGTGAAAATCTTTTCCTTAGAAAATCTTTTCCTAACAAACACGTTTTAAAAGCTTGAAGGGAAGTCTAAAAAGGAAAGTCTATAGAGGACAATATCTACTAACAGTGGGCTTGGGCGGTTTGAGAAATAAAATTAAAATTTCTTCTTGGGTACAAACAATGAAGTTGACCTTGAACTTCTCTCTCTCTTTTTGGTTTAACAGGAGTGGAGATTTCTTGGATTTGGAAACTGATACCAATCCTATAGATCGGTCAGTTGCCCACTTGCTATTTCACCGGCCCTCTGATCCATCATTAATGCCTGCTGGTGGTAACACCTTGCCTCTCAAATCAAACAAACTGGTAAGCTTTTTACACCTTTCAGTCTTCTTCATATACTATCTGGAACAGAATCACCTCCAATTTAAGAAACTCAAGGGTGTCGTAGCCATGTTATCACGGCACGTTCTTATATACTGCATAAAATACCAAGATGATCCATCTAAATTTCAATTTCCTTCATCAGCAGACTTATTTCCAACCAAGAGATTCACTGGCCTGTCATCAATTTGCAGGTTGCCACCAATAAACAAAATTTCCAGGACGAAACCGGTGGAGCTGCTGCTGCTTGTGCAGATCAAAAGCCGCTGTCAAATAGGAAAAAACCATGAGCAGTGAGCTCTGTAAAATATTGTGAAATAGCACGCCATCGATGCATGGAGTGATTCGTACTCCTTTATAACCTTGCTCTGTGATATGTCCCCATTTCCTCCATGCATCCATGTTGGTCCAGGTCCTTCAAATGCTTACCTTGAAAGGCCAAGTAGGCTATAATTCTAATAGTCTTTGGCTAATGTATTAAGAGCCTGTTTTAATATGCTGATTACGAAAGTGTTAATGTGCATTAGTTCTTGGTTTGATAGGCTAATCACAATTCACAAGTCTTGCAACTTCTTCCCCCTGTGGCACTGTTAGGAGATGGGCTAGCCATGATTTATGGAAATTCAAATTATTTCTGGTTGTATGTTTTAGTGATCTAATTGAGTTTAAGGCTTATAGATTATGTAATGTATACCTCTCTATCTAGATGAACAATTGGTGGGTTACCATTGTAAAGTTCTTTTTCTTTTCCTTTTTAAAGTATAATTCCATGCAAGGTTTGGATGCATACAATTTGGTGAATTATCTCTGCTTCGGGGCTGAAAAGATTAAAATCGTTTTGAGTTCGAAAATATAGATCCTCTCTTAAGCGGGAAACGGGGTGGAGACATGGAGACAGGGATGGAGAACACACTCTTTCTTCTATGACGTTTATATATTTTTACGTGCATCGATATTTATATTCTTAGTTTTGATAAGGTTGTTCAATAATCAATTTTGTGCTTCATAAAAGAAAAAACAGATTGATTTTTACATTATCTTTATTGTTAAAATTACTAAAAGTTTAAGTGTATATATATATATCCCACACTTTAAAAAAATTATATTTTATATTTCTTTTTTGAAATATAATAAATATAAAACAAAACCCTTAAAAAATTTATATTTTGAATTTCTTTTTTGAAATGTAATAAAAAATTTAATTTCCTTATTTGCCCTTCTTCCCATCTAATTTATTGCATTGAGGCCATTTGGCTCCCTCCTCTGTTGCCCTCTTCGCGCCTCTGCTGCACTCGAAGTTCTTCGTTCTTCTCCTTCTTACAAGCTTCCAGTTCCAACCACACTTTTCTCTGTTTGTGTTTTTTCCTCTATTTCTGCCCTTCTGTTCATTCGTTCCAGTGAGCTCTTATGTACCAGATAGAGTCGAGGATTCTCTCGGCAATCTCGGAATATCTTGCGAGGAAGATATCGCTGGAAGTAGGATTATTGAAAGGAAGTTCATGGGGATGATTAAAACGCTAGAAAGTACGGGCTGTGGAGCTTTGAAATTGAAGTTGCAAGATTTCTGCTTTTGGAATAACTCAGGCGAGGCCGAAGAACAGGTGGTCGAGGAGAAAGAAAGAAGCCCATTTCGATCGAGTCGCAATCATGGTTTTGATATGATTAAGCACCGATTCTCGTTGCCTAATTCAGGTATGCCTTAAAACCAACTTTGTGAAATATATAGCTCCGTGAAGATTTCAATATGTTCTTTCAGGCCCCATCGATAACCATGGTTTTAGTGGGTGAAAGTTAAGCTTAAACTCTACTTTTTTCAATGAATTCCGTAAAGCTTTCAAAGATTTCAAAGTTAAGCTTCTTTCAGAACCAGGCTATGAATTCCAATGTCTCTTAGTGAAGAACAAAATATGATCAAGAAACTATGAGAAACTAAGTACAAATTTCAAAAACCAAAGACCAATGATCAAATGATTTAAAACCTGAGTTTTAACTTTCTTTTAGACCTCTTAAAATGGAGGCTTGGATTTGCATCAGTTTTTTTACCTTGGATGTTTATTTGGTCTGTACTTTCCTTCAGGATACAAACACTGTGCACAGGAACCCACTACATAAAGAACTATCAGTCTCAGTATGAGGTATCCATCGCTCTATGTTCATATGCTCTATTGCTTATTTCATTTCTATGATGTGAATTTTTGTTTCAATTCAACATGTCAAGCTGTTGAGGATGGTTGGGAGTGAGTCCCACATTGGCCAATTTAGGGAATAATCATGAGTTTACAAGTAAAGGAATACATTTCTATTGGTATGAGGCCTTTTGGGGAAGCTCAAAGCAAAGCCATGAGAGCTTATGCTCAAAGTGGACAATATCATACCATTGTGGAGATCCATAGTTCTTAACACAAGTATGGGGTAAACCTTTTGTTGACAAAAAATATTTTTCCTGTCTATTGTTCTCAGATTTCTGCCATGTAAATGGAGATGGATTTCCTTGTTTAGGCCTTCATTCCAAGCTTGTTGCCCTTTGTATTCTGCAACTGCTCCCGCTCCCAAGTATTACTTTGATGAAGTTGAAATTGAGAAAAAGGAAATTGATTTCAACCGACTATTCCTTGTCTGCAAAAAAGTGCACCTTGCTAAGCGACTTCATGCACTACTTGTGGTGTCTGGGAAGGTTCAGAGCATCTTTCTTTCTGCTAAACTCATCAATCTCTATGCTTTTCTTGGTGATGTATCGTTCGCTCGCCGTACTTTTGACCAAATTCAGGCAAAAGATGTCTACACATGGAATTCTATGATATCTGCTTATGCTCGCATTGGTCACTTCCATGAAGCTGTAGATTGTTTCCATGAATTTATGTCAACTTCTATCCTTCAGCCTGATTATTACACATTTCCTCCTGTTATAAGAGCATGTGGAAATCTAGATGATGGGAAGAAGATACATTGCTTGGCTCTAAAATTGGGTTTTGAATGTGACGTATTCATTGCTGCTTCTTTGATTCATTTTTATTCTCGGTTTGGCTTTGTCAATTTAGCTCGTAACCTGTTTGATAGCTTGATGATTCGAGATATCGGTACTTGGAATGCTATGATTTCAGGGTTTTGTCTTAATGGTAAAGTTGTAGAAGCATTGGAAGTCTTTGATGAGATGCGATTCAAGAGTGTAAATATGGATTCTGTAACATTTTCAAGTCTACTTCCGATTTGTGCGCAGTTGGATGATATAATAAGCGGTGTCCTAATTCATGTCTATGCCATCAAGCTCGGGTTGGAATTCGACTTGTTTGTCTGTAATGCATTGATAAACATGTATGCCAAATTTGGTGAACTGGGAAGTGCAGAAACCATTTTCAACCAAATCGAAGCGAAGGATATTGTATCGTGGAACTCTTTGATTGCTGCATTCGAGCAGAATAAAGAGCCAGTGGTGGCTCTTGGATTGTACAAAAAGATGCATGCTACTGGGGCGGTACCCGACTTGTTGACACTGGTGAGTTTGGCTTCTGTTGCTGCTGAACTTGGCAATTTCTTAAGTAGTAGGTCTATTCATGGATTTGTCACAAGGAAAGGTTGGTTTCTACAAGATGTTGTCATTGGTAATGCAATTATAGACATGTATGCTAAGTTGGGGTATATAGATTCAGCACGAAAAGTTTTTGAAGAACTTCCTGTCAAAGATGTGGTCTCATGGAACACTTTGATAACAGGTTATTCTCAAAACGGTTTAGCGAATGAGGCAATCGATGTGTATCATTCGATGAACGATTATAGCGATGCAGTGCCGAACCAGGGCACTTGGGTCAGCATTCTAACCGCATATTCCCAGATAGGAGCATTGAAACAAGGTATGAAAACACATGGTCTGCTGATCAAGAACTTTCTATACTTCGATATCTTTGTGGGTACTTGTCTTATTGACATGTATGGAAAATGTGGAAGATTAGCTGATGCGTTGTCTTTATTTTACGAAATACCTCACAAAAGTTCGGTTTCTTGGAACTCTATCATATCATGTCATGGAGTCCATGGATACGGTTTAAGAGCTGTCGAGTTATTTAGGGAAATGCAAACTGAAGGAGTGAAGCCTGACCACATTACTTTTGTATCTCTATTATCTGCTTGTAGTCATTCTGGTTTGGTTGATGAGGGTCAGTGGTGCTTCCAATTGATGGGAGAGTTGTATGGTATAAGGCCTAGCTTGAAGCATTATGGCTGCATGGTCGATTTGTTCGGTAGGGCAGGTCATCTTGAAAAAGCTTATGATTTTGTTAAAACTATGCCGATACGACCCGATGCATCTGTGTGGGGTGCACTTCTTGGTGCTTGTAGGATACATGAGAATGTAGAGTTGGCTAGAACTGTCTCGGATCACTTGTTGGAGGTTGAGTCGAAAAACGTTGGCTACTATGTTTTGCTGTCGAATATTTATGCGAAACTTGGACAGTGGGACGGAGTCGATGAAGTGCGATCATTAGCTCGAGACAGGGGATTGAGGAAGACTCCTGGTTGGAGCTCAATTGAAATAGACAAGAAAATTGATGTCTTTTACACAGGCAACCGAACACATCCAAGATGTGAGGAGATATATGATGAACTGAGGGATCTAACTGCTAAAATGAAGAGTCTTGGCTATGTTGCAAACTATAACTTTGTATTGCAGGATGTGGAGGATGATGAAAAGGAGAACATTCTTATCAGTCATAGCGAGAGGTTGGCAATGGCATTCGGGATCATCAGCACGCCACCGAAAACAACTCTTCAGATCTTTAAGAACTTACGGGTTTGTGGAGACTGTCATAACGCTACCAAGTTCATATCTAAAATTACTGAAAGAGAGATAATCGTTAGAGATTCGAATCGATTCCATCATTTCAAAGATGGAGTATGTTCTTGTGGTGATTATTGGTGACATGTTCGGAAAGGACATAAAATAAACAAGATTCACTTCATTCGTTTTATGTTTGACAAACATAAATTGATTGATTAGGAGTTACATTTCTAAGTTTTAACACAATTTTCAACCATGTTTTATAGTGAATATGAGTAATTCATTATCGTTATTTTTTCACTCATTTCCTCTAGATTCCTCGTCAAAAATTTAAAAACCAAAGTAGTTTATTTAAAAAAAAATAATAGATTTAACTATAACTTCAAAACTTTCTCGAGAAAAAATATATTTATATAGTTTTCATAATCTTAAATTTTAAAAATGACGGAAACAAAGTCGTCGTGAATTGGGATTGAAATGATTTTATGCTAAAAAATTAAATAAACGCAAATTTAGAGTTATTTATAAAATGATCTTTTTTATGTTTTAATTTGGAATGAAAGGACCTATTAAAAAAAAAAACTAGTATTTCGGGACTCCTTGGAAAGTTACAATTTTACCCCTTATTGTTTTAAAAGACAATATATTCAATGGAAAAATTGTGATTTAGGTAAGTAATTTTGCATTTTAGGACAAGTTTTTAAGTTGGTTTGGATCATTATTTTTTTCGGCCAATTTCATCAAAATTTGAATTTATAGAATTAGATGAATTTTGAGTAAATTTCAGCTATGTTTTTGTTGAAATTCATGAATTTTTGCCAATTTCCGACCAAATTATGAATGTGGTCGAAATTCATTAATAAATAAATAAATAAATAAATCGTCCATGACGAGAAAAACGTCGTCGTTTTGGTAAACACAATGTCACCATGGATTCCGTATGTTCTCCGTATACTGCGAAGCCACCCAAATCTACA